TTTGTCTGATATTAGTATTGCTACCCTGGCTTCTTTTTTCACTCCCATTTGCGTGGTAAATATTTTTCTGTCCCCTCACTTTCAGTCTATATGTGTCTTTAGGTCTGAGATGAGTCTCTTATAGGCAGCATTTAGATGGGTTTTGTATTTTTTTTTAACCCATTCCACCACTCTGTGTCTTTTGATTAGAGCATTTAGGCCATTTACGTTTAAAATAATCATTGATAGGTATGTATTTATTGACATTTTGTTGATTGTTTTCTTGTTCTTCTCTGTTCCTTTCTTACTCTTTTGCTCTCTTTCTTTGTGATTGATGAGTTTCTGTGGTGTTCTGTTTGGCTTTCTTTCTCTTTATTTTTTGTGTATCAATTATAGGTTTTGGGTTTGTGGTTACTGTGAAGTTCATATACAGTATCCTTGGTGTATAAAAGCCTATATTAAGTATGTCAGTTACATTCAACAGTATAGTTAAGCAGTGAGTAGCCTCACTTAGGTTGATGTGCAAACACTTTGTGTCTCTGAGGGAAGACCCATCAATTCATATTTCAGCTTTCCCAGGATGCTCCAGAGTGGAATAGGAGCAAATCCCATGGTTTGTTATCAATACCATTGGGCCTGGAATAACCCGGAGCTTTGAAACCTGCGTAGCGAGATACTAGAAGTAGCTAATCACCTTTTCAATTCCTCTTGGCCCCGGATTTTCCCATAAATTAAGTATGAGAGTTGATTAATTTGAGGCTGGGGTGGGGGGAGTTGGAACAAAGGGGATGACCTATTAACTTAAAGCTTTAAGTTTTCAAGGGAGGAAGCCAAACTAAGTAGAATTTACATGTTGATTGTGTGTATATAAACCATCAATTCCACAGAATTTACAGCCTGGTTGCTTTTCTGCAGGAAGTTGTACTTCTCTCCTCTGAGACTGATTGAACTGTTCCTATATGAAAACAGAATTTCCCTTCTCCCACTAAAACTTTCTCAAACTTTTTGCTGACTTTAAACTACCTCTTCCCCCGGGGACTGGTCAGACTAGGATGTTCTTTGGTTTCCATCAGAGAATCTGGCTGTGCCCTTTTTTTAAAAAAATTTTTTTTAACGTTTATTTATTTTTGAGACAGAGAGAGACAGAGCATGAACGGGGGAGGGGCAGAGAGAGAGGGAGACACAGAATCCGAAGCAGGCCCCAGGCTCTGAGCTGTCAGCACAGAGCCCGACGCGGGGCTCGAACTCACAGACCACGAGATCATGACCTGAACTGAAGTCGGACGCTTAACCAACTGAGCCACCCAGGCGCCCCTAGCTGGGCCCTTTTTGAGTGTACAGATAGTTTGGTGAAAAATAACACGATGATAATAAAAATAAATCGCTAAGCTTCGCTGGGCATTTACCATGTGAGCTCAGTGCTTTATTTACCTTTTCTAATTTAATTCTCGCAACCACCGAGTGAGGTAAGTACAATGGTCTCCGGTTTATAAGTAGCCACGGGCAGTCTGAGGCTTGGTTTGATGAAGAGACGTACCCAGGCCGCAGAAGGTTGGAAAGAGAAGTGGTTAGCTTCCGTGGTGGAGCTGGTTAGTCAAGCTGGGCTACCGTCTGACTCCATGACCCATGCTTTCTGCCTCCCTGTAACTTCTTTTTCCTCAAGAAGACATCTTGAAAACTCCCCAGGACAACTCACAAGCAGCCCCTCGATGAAGAATCACGGACGAATAGCTTGGGGCTCCTTGAGCAAAGGGAGGTGACCGTGCTGGTCGCCTCTTGAGTTCCGGCAGCCCGAGATCTCGCTCGGCTCCTCCGAGCGCCTGTTGATGCGTGCCCCAGGCCTCAGAGGAGTGTGACAATAATTCCTTGTTCAAGTCCAGTGCTCTGGGACTCAGCAGCACCTCCCAACCTGAGGATTTTGTAATCTGGAGTCTATTCCCGGAGCCTGGTTTGAGGAAAATGCTGAGGGCCCTGAGGAAAAAGGGTCTGTGTTTGGGCCTGTGGGCCTGGCTGGGGGCTGGAAGGCAGCGTCCCCATGCCGGTAGGGATACAATGGGCGCACTCAGTGGGCGTGTGGCCCTGGGGACCTGCTTCAGCCCAGAGGTCAGATTATATCCCCTGAAACAAAGCTTTGGGTTTAGCCTCCTACTCATGCATTTCGTTCGCTCCTCAGTAGCTCTGGCTGGGACTCTGCATGCCCAGAAGGAGGGGGCTTTTATCCAGCCATTCTCCACGGCCTGGGCCTGCGTGACCACAGCATCCAGCCCCGGCAGGCAGCACTTGGCCAGAGGCACGAATTCCAGTGTTGGACTTTGGCGACAGAGTCCTCGCAGAGAGGGAGGCCGGCCACGGCCAGGGGAACCGTGGGGCCTTGGAGTGAGTCAGTGTGGCCGCCCAGCCCTGAGGACTGGTTTCTCCACAGGTGATTATTGGCCAGGGAGGAGAAAGCAGCCAGCCAGGCTCCATTAAAATGCTGCCACGGGCAAGGAATCATCTAGGAACTGTCCCCTGCAGGGCTGACAGAGTCTGGAGGGGTAAACTCCCAAGTCTCCAGCAGGGTTTCCCACCCAAGCCTCTGGAGGTTACTAAGGGAGTTCTGGCCCCAGAGGAGGCCGGCTTGCCAGGTGTTTCTGACACAGCTGAGAGCAATCATCACTGCAGCCACCTTGTATCCAGCCATCTCCCGTGCCAGGACTGGACTCACACTGTCTGTTTTCTTTGCCAGAGCCCTCCAGGCTTGGCGACGTTATCCCCATTTCATAAATGGGGCTCAAAGAGCTAAGTCACGTGCCTCATTTGTAACTGGCCAGACCCGGATGCAAACCCAGGAATGGGTTTCTCCTATTCCATCCTTAGCTTTCTCAGAGGGTAGCACCGACTCGACCCAAGATATTGATCGGGGGGTTGAGCATCTAGGGCAGCAACCGCAGCCATGGAGTTTATGGATAGCTCCACGAGATGAAATGGGAGTGGAGTGGAAAATGGCACTGGAGTACAGGCACTGAGTGTAGTTTCTCTACGTGGGCAGTCAAGGTGAGCGCCTCATTGATACACAGTCATCATACTGGTACGTCCTCCGTCTTGGTCTTACCCTGATTTCTGTGGGTAGGCCTGTAGCCAGACAACCGGTCTTGGGGACGACTACAGCGTTTGGTACACACACAAGAGCCGAAGCCATTCCGCGGTTTTCTGCCTTTCTCACCCGGGCCATCGGATCTCTCTTCCGTGTACACCCTCTCTTCTTCCCCAGTCAATGTGTATTTTATTACTGTCCATCCTTGATTCCAATTATGCCCTTGATCCCCAGAGGCACTTTTTTCACATGTTAATGTCTTTGCAGTTGGCACCCATTCTGTCATTGAGGTCTACGTTTAAAGTAGTGGGGCTGTTTATTTTTTTTTATTTTTTTTTTTCAACGTTTATTTATTTTTGGGACAGAGAGAGACAGAGCATGAACGGGGGAGGGGCAGAGAGAGAGGGAGACACAGAATTGGAAACAGGCTCCAGGCTCCGAGCCATCAGCCCAGAGCCTGACGCGGGGCTCGAACTCACGGACCGCGAGATCGTGACCTGGCTGAAGTCGGACGCTTAACCGACTGCGCCACCCAGGCGCCCCAAGTGGGGCTGTTTAAATTGCTGCTACCTTTTTAGAACTGATGGGGACCAAGAACGGGGCCATATGATAATTCAAGCATTTATTCAACTCATCAGATGCCTACATTATGCTAGATGCTTAGGAGATAGAAATAACCAGCATGCAATCCCTTGCCTTAGGAAGGTCACAGTCTTGAGGGGGAGAGAAGGGCTCCTAATTTAAGGAGCCAGGGTGTATGGAGGATCAGAGGAGAGAAGGCGGGGAGTCGGGGACCACTTGGCGGAGAAGGTGCATCGTGAAGAGGGTGGGAATACAAAGGGGCTAGGAGGGGGTGGGGATGGTTTGGGGAATGGTATTCTGGACCACTGACTAGTCAGAGCAGACAAATGTTCAGAATCATGAAATCCTGTGAGGCGTTTGCCGGCTTCAAAGGGTTTGCTGTGGTTCTAGTGGAGGGCACTTGTGGAGACATGGGTGTAAAATGAGGTCGCAGGGATAGGCAGGGGGCAGATCTTGGGGGACCTTGAGCTCCACACAAATGAGCTTAATCTCCATCCTGAATCCAATGGCAAATCACCGAGTGGTTTTCAGCCAGGGGGGTGATGCCCTGATTTGTGTAGAGGAGCTCCGTGTTGGGAAACGGATGGGAAAGAGGATGGCGGGGTGGGGTGGGAGGAAATGGACAGAGTGACGGCTGTTGCAAGAGAGAGAAAAGTCACCCTGAATGAGGCAAAAGCCTCATTTTTATTTACTATTCCTAGACAGGGTGGGCCTGATTATGGAGGCTTGAGGTGGATCGCCCAGTGTTACAGTGGGGCCTCTAGAACCTGCAGGTGGAAGTGGCTTTGTTCTTACCTTAACCTCGTCATCTAGCGGGCAACTGCTAGTGACGTGCCACCCGATCAGTAGGCAGGCTGACTATATGAACGAACGGATGCTGGGAAAAGCTAGAAAAAGAAGAAGAGCTCACTACTTGTCGATGCCTGTTAAAGAAGAGTCCTTATCAGCCTGCAGCGGTGAATTTCCAACTTGCACTTGCCAAATTAGCTCACCAGCCAGAATTGTTTACGAGTGGATGGGGCTGTATGCCAGTGCTTGGGGGGGAAATGTGCAGGTCTTGGTGAGAACCATCACAGGGAGGACGAAGTGGATATATCTGGGTATGAGATAGGCTATTCATCATTCAAAGTCATGAGAAAGAAATAGGTAGCTTGTGTGGTTGTGCCTGGGAATTACACAGAAGACGCATAATCCATGTTGTTGGCCGACTGACCCACCTGCAATAGACAGTGGGGACAGAGGCTGGGTGAGAGGAGGAAAGAGCTCCTCTGCCACGGTGGCAACGCCTTGGAAGGGGTGGGAGATGACTGCTGATATGGCGACGCCAGACTTACGGTTCTCTTCCCCTCCCCGCTTCCCCGAACAGGTGCAGTGCCATACTTACACAGGGTACTGCTGGTGTGTCACCCCAGATGGGAAGCCCATCAGTGGCTCTTCTGTGCAGAATAAAACTCCTGTATGTTCAGGTACCGTAGGGAGGGGCGGGAAGAAAGAAAAGAGCTGGGCTGGAGAGAGACCCTTAGCTGGTCTCCTGCCTCTCGCGGGGGAACCTTTGAAAACTGGTTGAAAGACGGGCGGTGGTTAGGAGCCCTCTTCCAGGTCAGGGAGGATTCCATTCGAACACGCTGCTCTGCAGTCAGCTGGATGATGGGGTCCGTATAGGCCCATGTGTATGTATTTCTTTATTTTGAGTTTAGGTTTCTGGTTCAGTGCTCTCTTCCCAAGCATCGGCTGTGACCCCTCGAGAATGGCATATAAATTTTTAGCTTGGGTGCTCTGCTTGCTGGTGGCCTCAGGAGCACTTTATTGAGGTAGATTTTAAGACCGTATGGGAGTTCAGCATCAGAGGCTGAATGATCAACTAGTGATGTCTGTCATGGGCACACGAGAGGAGAGTGCCCTCCCCCCCCCCCCGCCCCCGACAAATGTAATGTAGAGTAACGGAAAACTTTCATGACAGTGGCCCTCAATTCTGGCTGTCATCGGCAGTGCCTGGGGAATTAAAGAGCCCAGGTGTCGAGGCTCCTCCCCGTATAGTCTGATCCAGTAGGTCTGGAATGAGACCTGGAGTCCACATGTTCGCAAAGCTTCTCAGGTGGTTTTGGTGACTAGACAAGCTAGGGAATCATTGCTTTCTAGTGACCCATTACATAAGCCCATAGCATAATTAAGTTCCTTTCTATTTCAAACTCTATAAGCATAGAGACATTTTGCTCTCAGGTCAGCCTCGTGGGATTGTGCATTTTGGATTTATATAAGCTCCACACTTTCCACTTCCATTCAGATAGTAGGGGACTTGGGAGTCACTCCCTTAATTCACTATGTGGCTCAGTCCTCATTCAAGAAAGCCTGTCCAGCCACAAGCTGCTTCATATTTCTTTGTATCTCTGTGTCTAAGGTTTTATTTATTTACTTATTTTTAATTTTTAAGTGCAAGCAAATTATAAAACATTTTTCTAAAACCTATGGGAAACTCCAAGGGTTAGCAGTCCTGCCATCCTAACGTTTTTCTGTTTTCATAAAACGTATTCATTTTTCTACTGGCCCTGCTATATAAAGGGAGCGGTAAGAAAGGGCAGTGAGCATCTACATTAGGAAACCAAGATTTGCAGGCCAAAATGGAAAGTTTACTTTATTTGTGGTTTACATGGAAACTGGAAACCTTAATTGGGGTTGGTGTGGGGCAGGGCAGGAATGAGCCCTCCTTGCAAATGACCTGGAAAGTTTCATTTAAAGCAAACAAATGCACCAGAAACAGGCCACGCAGGGGAATATAATTGAATTCTCACAAAACTAGTATATGGAGAAGGGGTATGATATGGAGTGAGAAAATAGGGATTCTTTGTTTCTCCTGGTGGTGGGACCTCTCTGCATATGCCCTTATGTGGGTGAGCTGCCCCTGCCCTGCATGTTGTGGGTTCCATGAGGAAGACAGGTGCGACAGGGTCAGGACCGCGGGATGGGTGCACGTGGCATGCTAGCACATGCAGGGCGAAGCGTTCGGCCAAACACACACACACCACCCCCTCCTCGAGGAATAGGCCGCGTCTAGAAAATTGTTTCCATGCCTCAGACTATTTTGGCCCATTCAGTACAATTGGGCCAACAATTTTCTACTTAATGCAGATGGAAAATCACCGATTTCCTGCCCTAACCAGCAAGGGATGTGAATCATTGCATTTGCAGTAAGAGGGGTTTCTTTTCAGTTGGCCCTACTGAGTGGACATGGCTCAGAACATGGAGGTGGTGGGAACTGGGGGAGATGGGGAGCGAGGGTGAGGGGCAGTTATCGGAACGTTACTCACCAGGGAGTTATGTAGATGTGGAGTTTTATAAAAAATCTGGTCACGGCTGTTGCCTGGAAATCATGGTTCGCCTCACCGGTACTGTGATATCAGTGACATTGATGTTAAACAAACCCCACTTGACATGTATGTATGTACTAGCTTTGTATATAATGTCCCTAGACGTGTATACAATGTATGTATATACATAACCAACCACACGCTCATAACAGGAGGCTTTGCCAGCTCTTTGAAAGAAACCAACAACCACAATGCATTCTGAATGTCTATGTTTTTGTTTCCCTTTCGCCCAAGGTTCAGTCACCGACAAGCCCTTGAGCCAGGGTAACTCAGGAAGGAAAGGTGAGTAGAGTTTTATGCTCTATCCAAATGTTTGCTTCTAAAGCCAGTCCAAGGAGAGTTCTAGACAAGATGGAAGGAGCCTGGGTGTAAGCTAAAAGTCCCCCACAGAAAACCTCCATTCTTATTCTGGGCTTCCTCCTAGAAGCACCGGAGGTAAGTAAGGCTCGTACCGTGGTGGGGACCAAGTTCGCAGACGTTCTGAGGGATGGGAGTGAGTACGGCATACAGAGCTGGCAGGGCCCCCGAGAATCTTGGTTCCTGGGAAGTTCAGTCCATCAGCTACCACGTAGCCGGCATTACGCCAAAAAAGACGATGAAGGCAGGCATGTCCAAGTCTGCCCTGACCCTCTTGCTTTGGAAAGTCGGTTGAACATTTTTTCCCTTCCCCGACTCTCCTTAATAATTCATTGTTCCAGCCCATCTGGATTTTCTTCGCTAAGACTAGCCTGGCTGCACGGGCTTGCCACCTGGGCAGCCGTTGTCTTGGGATTCCCAATCATCCTGTCTTTAAACTTGTGTCTTGTTAAGTCCAGCAAGACAGTGAAGCCTGCATGTGCACATCCGCGTCACCCTGTTGGCCTATGGTTTTTGTGATGCACGCAGTACGCTTTCCCCAGAACAACATCATATAGAAAAATGTAAAACACCACGACAAGTCAAGAGAGACGCCATGAAAGAGAGGATAAAACTTTATAGTTTAGTGCCCTTAATGGCACGGTGTTCCCGGCTTTTGAACAAAGGGCCTTGCATATTCATTTTGCACTGGGCCCTACAAATTATGTGGCTAACCTCAATTAAGGCATTTGTCTGAGTGCTATTTAGTGGAGCCACCGACATGAGGAACAGGTCCCTGGGATATGCGGACCATAATTTCCAGCGTGGAGGACACTAAGCTCCACCACCGCTTACCTTCAGGACCGCACACACACACACACACACACACACACACAACTTGTAGCTGCATGCAGAACAAGTATCAATTTCACTGTGTGCACAGGCACTCTAGAACCTCCATTTCGGGCTCTTGGGTAAAATCCAGATGGGGGATGATTGCATCCGAATCTGGGCCTCGGGAATTTCATGTTTGTAAATGCCCACGTGGAGAGCCGGGCCTACAGAGGATCAGCGTGAGGTTCCCCGGGCTTGTCCTGCATGTGCTGTCACGAGGAGACTGAGGCAAGACCCTGGCCCCCCGCCCCGAATCCTTATTCCATGGGGGTGGGAAGAAGAGGCAAGGTCACCCTGCCCGATTGCGGGAAACGAGAATCTGGAGAGCCTGCTGCCCTCTAGTGCAGGTGCTCCGAGAAGTCACAGAAGTGGAGCATAGTGATACCACTAGAAAACGTGGACTAATGGGCCTTCCCACAAGCAGGAATGAGTAAGTGGGTAAAAAGAAGGGAGCAAATGCCTTTCTAGGTCTCTCCCAGGACAGGGAGAGGTAGCCGTGTGTGTTGGTGGTTCCCTTTTGGGTGGGAAAGTGGGAGAAGGGCGTGAATCATTCTTCCTGCAAAGACCTGAACTCCTCAACCCTGTGAATGGCACGTGCCCGTCTATAGTTTGCTGGGGTTGGAAAGGGGAGCTGCCTTTAATTTTGCTTGTTGCAGCTAAAGACTTCGGGAACATCGCCTCTATCCTGAGGCATGAGGTCGTGGTAGTAGAAAAAACGCTTGGCAATCGTGCAAAACATACCACCCAGATTTTCCCCACCAGAGAGAACTGAGGGCATGAGGCTGCATGAAGCCCCCACACTGAGAAAGGCAGACGATGGGATTTTAGTTCTTAAACCGCACAGAGAAGTACTTTCCAGGTTGATGTGGCTTTGCACCCAATGGGCAACAAAAGAAACAGACCTGTGGTCATTGTGGCCTCCTGGTGATCCGGCTGGAAGAGGGCAGGGGACCCTGATTCCTCCAGGGATGGTGCAAGGAATAGGGGTAGAGTCTGACGCCTCCTCTCAGAGACAAGTTGCTCAGTTTCCAGCATTTTGTTCCCCTACTCCAGATGGGTTCCTGCCTCCCAGATGGCTCTGCGGAGGCTTCCTCTGTGGTGCAGAAGCCCAGTGGGGGATGCTGACTCGCTCGTCTCTGGAGACTTGACTTTTGCCCATAGCCTCTCCTTCCTTCTCCTTTGGAGGACCTACATAGGTGCTAACCCTCTCCTCTTTGTCTGTTGTAGGCCGTGCAGAGAAAAGCAGGCTCAGGCCACCTGTAGGAAGGGCCACCTGAAGCCACACCTGTCCAGGAAGCTGGGGTTTGAAGGGGGACAGGGTGCGAGAGGGCATTTGTAATATCCTGTGTCGGCCGCTGAGGTCCCTCTCTCGGCTGCCACTTAAGAATGGAATGTGCTCCGAAGGGCAGCAGGTGGGAAGACACAAAGGCCCCTTGTCTGAGCTGGTGCCCACACGTGGGGTCTCCTAGACGGCATCTCCCGGGAGCTGGAGCTCACGGCCCTGAGGCCTGCTGCAGAGATGCGAGGCCTGGGCCCTTGTGCAGAGTGAGGGGTACAAGCCAGGCCCCGGGTCTGGGTGTGAGAGTGGTAGGGGGTGGCAGCGGGGAGCGGGGGTTGAGGGGAGAGGCGCAGGCCCAACCTTTCCTCTCCCGCCCTCTTGCCTTTTGGAGCCCGCTCTGCCGACAGGGCTCGGAGGGATCGGTTCCCTCTGCCTGGAAGGAATGAAAAGGTGTATTGTGCGAAGAAGGAAGGTCTGGTTGCCAGCCAGGAATTAGTCCTGCGGAGGAGAGGAGGAGAAGGCCGAGCAGAGGAGGCTGGGGGAGGAGGCTCAGAGAGATAACAGGAGGTAGGGAGGAGGGAGAGAGGCCGGGCGGTAGCGGGTCACAGGCGGCTGGCCCAGACAGGAGGCCTGGGTTGCGGCTCCTGGGTCCACAGGTGTGAGGCCCGAGGGGAGAAGTGGGGGAAGGAGGGAGGGAGGCGCTGTTATCTTACCCAGATGCACGTGCTCTGGGAGGGGAGGAGGGTCAGAACTTCAGACTATTTACTTAATCCCTTGGAATGTCCTTTCCTCGCTCTGTTCTTTGGGCCCCTTGTGTTTCACGGACCCCTTTATGGGCACATGTGTGGTAATTAACACGTGCAGTGTAGGTCCTGGGCCATGTGTTTGAGTTTCAAATATCCATTGATCTGGGGCACTCCCATCTTGGCTCCCCTCCCCTTCTTCTCCTTTGGTCCTTGCCCTTGAAGAGTGATGCGGTGGGGGGGGGGGACGAGGGGGAGCTGGGGGGGCACACGTGCCTCCACATGTGTGTTATTGGTGCTTCAGAGGACTATCAGAAGAGAGGAAGAAGGCCGCCCTTGAGCTCTGACAATCTGCTGCTAAAACAGTTGGAGGCCGCAGAAGCTGAGGTAGAGATAAATTTTTGGTTTCAACCGAAGCAGGTCGAAGGACAGCTGGGCAGAGGCTGGGAGGCAAAATGCGTTTAGAGATCATGAATTTACCCAGAGCAGATTTTCCCGGCCAACCAAGGCTTGCAGATTTTCCCGAGGTGCCTCTTTCTGGGGTCTTGATGCTAATGAAAGTGGACGATTTGGGGAGCTTCCAGGATTGCTGAATACGGAGTCAGGGACTGGTCCTGGGCTTGATTGCTTGTGAGGTGCAGGAGGGGAGTTCTCAGCCTCTAGGGGGTGAGGGCCGGAGAGCATTTGTAAAATTCTTTCTGCCAGTTCTCTGGGAGCTTTCTTCTGTGCACCCAGGACCACGGAGATCCCGGGCTGGTGCTTCTGTGCACAGCGAGTGAAAGTTGAGGGCCGTCAGGAGTTTTCTGCAGTTTGAGTATTTCCCACTTGTAAGTGGTCTAGGATTTAGCTGTTTAAGGAAAGTGAGAGAAAAATGAAAACATTAGCAGGCTCTGCCTACATTTTCTGCACAGACTTCTGTACTTGTCAAGCCAGTGTTGGAGAGGGGCAGTACTCCCAAAACCCAACCCACCTTTAATTTGTGGAGACTTGTTATCCCCCCTGAGCTGCCCCATACTGTGTGCTCTCAGTAAACAGTGAGTCACAGTTATTTGTTGTGGGTCCCTCTCTGCATCTCAGTGTTTAGAATCTTTCACGGAGCCTGGTCTACAGGTTGGTGCTGGCTCAGAGGACCTATCACTGAGGTGGTGGATGAAGCAGAGCCCTCATTCAGGGCTGAGGGATGTGCTTAGGGCAGAGTCTGGCAGTCCCCAGACAAAGGGGACTGTGTGGCCTCCAGCCTCGGCCCTCCTGTGGTCGGCACACCTAAAGGAGGTTCACCTCGCCGCCCTGAGCCTAGCTGAGGTGTGCGAGGCTGGCTGTCTCAGAACATTCCACAAGCGGAACATCGTTCCTGCTCAGATGACTTTAACCTCTTCCCAGCTACCTCTCTTTTCTCTTCCCCCAGCACTTAAGGAGAGGCTGGGTCAGTAGTCGACCTGTCGGCATTGTCTTCAGATGGCAAAAGTCTGACTGCCCACCGTCTGGGGCTGGATTTGATTGGAGACGGGCAGCTGCTGACCTCTAGGGGTCGGGCCTCTGCTCACATCAGATTTCCCCAGGGAGAAGCATTCTCTCTGATACGGTGCCTGCTGAAACAGAACTGTGCCTCAGTGCCTGCTGAAACAGAACTGTGCCTCGGCAGCTCCAGGCCTGCGAGAGGCAGTGTTTTGCTCTCTGCATGTGTGTTGGCCGCTGTTTGCTGGTGTCCCGAGCCGCCCTGACCAAGCCTGGCACCTCCGTGTACCGGCTTTGTGGGGTTCGGTTGCAGAGGGGTGTGCCTGGGTGTGTTTGAGTGCTCATGCGTGTGCTGTATCTCTTTCCTGCCCCACCCCCCAGTTGGCTCATGGCACTCAATCCCGGCCCTCCGTCTCAGTCCCTATTCTGGGGTCTCTGAAAGAAAGCTATGTGTGGAGGCTACTAAACAAAGAGTTTGAATCCCTGCCATATCCCCACTTCCGAGGACCAGAGAGGAAATGGGGTTTAGGCATCTGGAAAAGCCTCCTAGTCATAGATCCTTATGAGTCCCTGGT